AATTTCTTTTGAGTTGGGTTGCTATTTTTCTTTTCTATTTCTTTCTTTTTTGCAGCATGCACTGCATTTTGAGAGAACATCAGGGATAATACTTCTTTAGGTGTCACCCATTGATAGGGGGCATTACCTCTTCTCCATCAAAGTTTTCCAGTATATAAGCCCCGTTTGGTGTGACCTTTTTTATTATGAAGCGACCTTCCCACTTAGGTTCGAACTTTCCTTTGCGGTATCCATGCATGACAATCGGTCTCTTTAATGCTAAGACTAGATCCCCACGAGCGAATGAGCGAACCTTGATAGATTTGTCAAAGGCTCTCTTCATTCCCCTCTAATTGAGCTCGAGGTTTTGCTGGGCCTCTTGCCTCTTTTCATCAAGAGCATCCAACTCCTGATAACGGAGCTTGACCCTCTCATCTTCAGTCAGTCCCTGATGTGTAGCGACACAGAGAGAGGGTATTTGAACCTCGAGGGATAAAACTTCCTCACCTCCATAAACCAGGGAATAAGGAGTGGAGTTTATAGCATTCCGGGTGGTGGTGCGATAGGCCCACAGAGCTTCAGGCAGCCTCTCATGCCAATTCTTCTTTGACTTCAAGACCGACTTTCGGAGCACCCCGTACAGGATTTTATTGAATGCCTCAGCTAAACCATTAGCTCGAGGATGGTACATGGTCTAGTACCTCCACTCAAAATTGAACTGGTTAACTAAGCAATCGACGTGATGGCTTCTGAATTAAGGGCCATTATCAAAGATTATTCGGTCTGGAACCCCGAACCGGTATATGATGTGGTGACGCACGAAGTTGACCACAGTGGCCCCTGGAACCTGCTTGAGCGGGACCACTTCAACCCACTTGGAGAAGTAATCCGTCACTGCTAGATGAAGACATGACCCGAGGTAAAAAGATGGGTCCTACAATATCCATACCCCACTGGAAAAAGGGCCATGATGTCACTATAGGATGGAGAGGCTTTGGGGGCTGATGAATGAGGCTTGAGTGCATTTGGCATACCTGGCATCTTTTAGCGTAGTTTTGGGCGTCAGCCACCATTGAAGGCCAATAATAGCCAAGTCTGCGTATGCGTTTATAGAGCTTAGGGCCGGACTGTTGCAGCTTGCAGATACCTGATTGCACTTCTTCCAGTACTTTAGTGGCTTCTTGTGTATTGACACATTTGAGGAGAATTCCATCAAATGATCAACGAAAGAGAACATCCCCATCGAGAATGGTGTACTTGGTAGACATCCGTCGTATACCATTGCATTTCGCCCGATCCTTAAGCAACCTTCCGTGCTTTATGAAGTTCATGATAGGTTCCCTCCAGTCTTCCACTTGTTCTACCCCTGCACATATTGGGTTGAAGAATCCAGGCTCCTACTTCTCAGCCTTGGATTCTTTACCTTGGGACATTTCCTGCTCTGCCTTAATAACATCCTTGGCTGCAAGGAGTGCTCCGAATGGATAAGGCGGGCATTCGGGGAAGACATATATCTCCTCATCTGCATCAACTTCAGTTCTCAAGTCGACATGTCTCCATTCTGCTACCCAAACAGGTGTGGGCCCTGATGAAGACAATTGAATGGTAGCGCCAAGCTTTGAGAGTGCATCGGCCTGCGGGTTTAGCCTTCTAGGGATATGACTTAGGGAGAAATTGTCAAACTGGGCCATATAAGATTTGGCCGTGTCGTGATAAGGCTTGAGAGTATCCTTTCTTACGTTATAAATCCCTTTAAACTGCCAGATGACTAGCTCAAAGTCACCGAATATGTTCAGTTGCTCTAGGTTTAGCTCTTGGGTGATTTCCAATCCAATTATGAGGGCTTGATATTTAGCTTAATTATGAGAAGATGCCTCTACAAGTGAGAAGGATAGAGGAATCATTCCACCATCGGGAGGTCACTTTATAGGGGGGATCCTGAAGGGACTGGGTGAGCCACAAGAAAGTCTGTTAAGGCTTGACCTTTGACAGCCCTCTGTGGTACATACGTGATGTCGAACTCCATTAGCAATAATGCCTACATGGCCAAGCATCCTAACATGCATGGCCGGGTCATAAGGAACTTGACCGGGTCCTCCTTTGAGATTAGCTTGACCTCATGACCCAACCAGTAATGTTAGAGCTTCTGTACTGCAAAGATCAAGGCTAGGCACATCTTTTCGATGGGAGGGTAATTCTTCTCGGCTCCCTGCATCCTGCGGCTGAGATAATAGAGCGTTGTTTCTTTTCCCCCATCATTGTTCTGTGCGAGGAGTGCCCTGAGTGACTCATCAAGAGTAGTCACATATACGATGTGAGGCCTTCCTAATATCGGCGTAGAGAGTACTGGATGATTCAACAAGTACTGCCTGATATCGTCAAATGCAGCTTGGCATGCCTCATCCCATATAAAGGGAGTGTCCTTCTTTGGAGGTATGAAAAGGGCCTGCATCGTCTCGAGAGGTTCGAGATGAACCTTCGAATGTAGGCTAGCTGCCCATGGAGAGATCGAAGGTCACACAGGGTTGTAGGAGATGGCATGTCCTAAATCTCCTTGATTTTGACTGGCGATTTCCAGCCCACGATAACTCACGATGAACCCTAAAAAATTTCCTGCGCGTACGCCGAAGGCGCATTTCAAGGGGTTCATCTTGAGTTAGTGATGCTGCAGCCGCTCAAATACCTTTTTAAGGTCCTCCATGTGAGCGTCTTTTGCTTCAGACTTTATCACTAAGTCATCCACATAGCACTCAACCTCCTTGTGCATCATGTCCTTGAATATGGTTGTCATGGATCGCTGGTATGTGGCGCCGGCATTCCTCAACCCAAAAGACATCATAGTGTTTCAAAAGACACCCTTTGGGGTTAAGAATGCAGTGGCCTCTTCATCCTCTGGTGCCATCTTGATATGATTATAACCAGAATATCCATCCATGAAGGAGAAGATCTGGCAATGAGCCATGGAATCGACAAGCATCTCAGTGAACGGTAGGGGGAAGTCGTCTAGGCAGTGTTCAGGTTGCGAAAGTCAATACATACACTGATTTGGCCATTTTTCTTCTTGACTGGGACGATATTTGCCAGCCATCTGGGGTATTTGACTTCATGTATGAATCCAGCCTTCCTGAGCTTGTTCACCTCAGTATCGATCTGCATCTCGAGGTCGTGTTTAAACCTTCTCAAATTTTGCTTCATAGGTTTGATGGACGGGTCAATATCGAGACGATGGACAACGATTTGAGGGTCTAGACCGGGCATCTCATGATAATGGCAGGTGAAGACGTCCCGGTTTCCTCGATAGAGGGAAATATAGCTTTCTTTCTCTTCTGGGGACATTTTTGAGGAGATAAAAGTTGGCCTTAGGTCGGCCTCTTCCCCTAAGTTTATCTCTTCGAGCTCGTCAGACGTAGCCTGACCACCTTCTTCCCACTCTTTCGGAGCTTCCTGCAACTAGAAGAAACAACTATGTCTCTGTACTCGAGATTGCAAAACCTCATTCGAGCAACCCTAAGGTAGTTTCCAACAAGCATATACTCATCAAAACCCAATATAAATTATTCCAAAGAACTAAAAATGATGTCCTATAATTTACTTCTTGCTCATGCAAACTTTTCCCCAACTTTAATTAATATTTAAGATACAAGATATATTAAAATCATGGAACAAACTCACCAAATTCGTAGAGATTTTCAGACCTAGTTATGTAGCCTTTCTAGAGAGAGAAACTTGTCGAGAATGAGTTTCCCATGAACATATTGCATAAGAGGGAACACAAGCTTGTTGTGTATTGTAAGAGGCAACATGGCACTATAATTTATCTCGTGACATGCCAGGACTCCCACAGCGATGAGAGGCACATCCCTGCACCCAGCTCATAAGTAAGCTTAAGAGATAACAATATTTTAGAGAGAGAGAGAGAGGGAGTAATTTAACTAAGCCTCTCCAAACTCTTTGCCATATATAGCTACTTAGAGGAAATTCAGAGAGACACTTGTAGAGAGAGAAAAGCCAAGCGTTATCTTTCGACGGCCACGTGTCCCTCTCTTCATATGGCTCTTCCTTTTTCCTTCTAAATTTATTTATTCCCTTTTAAAACACATTTTAAGTGAAAAAAATTAAAAATTAAAAATTAAAAATTGGGCCCTTATTTTTACAAATATTTAAAAAACACCCCGTCCCGATGGCATTTAGATAGAAGCGATTGATCTGTAATTGCACTGTCTCTTCATCACTCATTTCTAAAACTTGGTTCTTGCTTTCTTTCTTTTTTTTGTTCTAAGTTATAATGATAAAATAGTCCAACTTTTATATTGATTTTCAACTACTAAGGGTAATTATTTTCCTTGAAAAAGAACGGTAATTAATTTTTTATTTTTTTTAAAGGATGTAGTTAGTGCATTGCATATGCAAAGCTTTTGTTTTTGCTTGAAAATATCATATCGAGCTGTCTTACATTTACATGAATTTGTTGGATCAAAGAGCATTATGAAACTCCAATACGAAGGGGATATATAGTTATTTTTCTAAATGAATTCATTGGATTTAAGAGCAAATCTCAATTTATTAATTAAAATATAATTGACAACCATATCAACTTGAGAATCAATCATGTCTTAATCATAAGTCAGATAGAAATGGAAAACAAATTCAATAAAATAAAATAAAATAAAACAAAACCAACATAGTTGGTTCCTTTTACCTTACTTTTCCATTAAAACCCTTACTAAACTCATATTTGTTATATGGGGCTATGTTTTGAATTCTATTAAGCCAATATTATCCAACATTGATCCCTTGGGGCAATACTATCACATTTTGATCTGAATGGCCCCTGTTCCTCAGCCCTTAAAATTTGGACTTAGGGGAGTGACTTCATGCAATTATTGTATTATAGTATGATGCAACTGTATGTTGGTAAAATATTATCCATTAGATGAAATCAAATCCAATGGATGGGATTATATCTAAATATCCATTTAAAAAAGCCTATCAAATTTCAATTGAAATTGGGAACATTGAAAGCACCAGATCTCTCGATCTCCCTCTTTCTCGCTTTATTTCGGGCACTTTTCAGGCCAGAACGGGCAGAAAATTGGGAGGTTTTCTCTGAGAGAGGATGGCTCAAACTCATTCGCTCCTTTTGGGGTTCGCTCATGCTGTATGACGATGGTAAAGAGGAGGTTGAAGGTCCAAAGCTAGGAGTAGGGCTTGAGAAGGAGAAGATTAGCTTAAAGTTCAACCCTCTGCCTCTAGGTTTGAGCTACACTAAGAAGAATAGTATAGTTCCTGCTGTGAAGAAGCGAAGTTTAGGGATTACTAAGTCACCGGTATGACTCTCACTCTCTCTCTATCTATCCCTATTACAGTTTTAAATATTTCAATTTCTGGTTTCTCTCTCTCTCTCTCGATGTATCTCTGTCAGAATTTTTCTTGTTGCAATTTGTGTTTTGCTCTCTCTCTCTCTCTAACGATATATATTTATGTATAGCTCTCACATTTGTAGATAAGGTTATTATTGGTTCATCTCTTCATTTATCTTTGTTACAAAATTACTATTAGTGGTTTGCTCTCTCTCCTGTCTATTTTTGGGCATTTTGGATTTTGAATTTTAGTGGTTTGCTCTCTCTCTATATATATACATATATCTATCTATCTCTGGATAATTTGAATTTCTAAATATTACCATAAATGTTTTTGTTTTAAATGGTCTCTTGGGGTTGATTTCACAGTAATCTTCCAATCTTTTGGGTTCCCCCTCTCTCAGCTCTCTCTCTTACTCACTTGCTCACTTTCTGTGTCTCTGCTACTCCGTGGTTTTTTTTTTGTTATCTATTTTTTTAATGGGGTTTTATGATTCTCTGATTCTCCTTAACCCACCATTGATGTTTTTTCAATGTAATCATTTTCTGTAAAATGGAGATTTGCATAAATCAATTTTCAATGGTTTTTCTTTGGTGAAATAAAAAATATTTTTTCAAAATAGATAATAAAAAATCATGGTTCCCCACATTGTTAGAGTGCAACTTGCGATTTGTTTGGCATTAGATTCATACTTTTATGTGGGTAAATAATTCTTTGCATATACAAAGTGTGGTTGTGGCATATTGGTCTTCATATTGCGATGAAATGATTGTGGGCTATGGTTTTGTTTTGCTTTTTCATTAGCATTCCATAAGAGGTATTTTACTTCAATTATGTTATTATGTTATATGTTGAACTCATGGGTCAAAACTAGCATATACATTTTTTTATATGCATGAATGAAAATTGAATGGTTTTTTTTTTGCCTCCAATGATGTTTGCTGCAGGTAATTATTGCATACATATTGTTATGGATATTGACAAAGATCAAACTCATGCCCTCATCAATGATGTTGTGAGTTATGGTGGGAGGGATTCTTGAGACATTACTCCTATTGTAGGTGAGGATGAGTGTATAATTGAAGATTTGACAACAACTTCTCATTATTTCAATGGTGATGCTAGAATGATAGAAATTTCTATGGTAAAAGTTGTAATTGAATCTAATGAAAATTTGAAGTTTGAACCATTTGAAGGCATGGAGTCTGAATCTGAAGAATCTGCGAAGGAGTTCTATAATGAATATGTTAGGCAGGTAGGTTTCAGTATGTGTGCCAGCACACTTTATTATATGGGTGATGAAATTGCTAATGCTAGAAGATTTGTTTGTTCAAAACAAAGATTCCGATAGAAGAAATATATGGACAATGAGAATAGAGTTAAAATATCACGTGCAATTACTCGAGAAGCGTGTATAGCAATGATGGCGGTGAATAAAATTGACATTGGAAAATGGGTTATTAGGAAGTTTGTGAAAGATCACGACCATTTGCTAACAAAGCCTGGAGAAGTTCAATATCTGCGATCACATAAGAAGCTGATCAACATAACACAACATACTATAGACACAGATACCAGTGCAGAATTACGTCCACGCCTTATAATGTCTATCCTTAGCCAAGAAGTGGGTGGAAGTGAGAATCTTGCATTCATTGGTGGTCATTGTCAAACTCACATGACTTGAAAAAAGAGATGTTCAACTTGTACTTGAATACTTTAGAAATATGTAATATGAGAATCCTACATTTTTAATGCGATTCGAGTGGATGAGAATGGGCATTTGATTAGAATCGTTTGGGCTGATGCTTAAGGATGAACTATCAATTTTTTCGGGATGTTGTTGTGTTTGACAGAACCTATTTGACAAACAAGAATCGAATGCCTTTTGCGCCATTTATAGGAGTAAACCACGATAATCAATCTGTGTTATTTGGTTGTGCTTTAATAGTTGATGAAAGTAAAGAGTTATTTGTTTAGCTATTTAAGACATGGCTTCAAGCAATGTCTGACCATCATCCAACTTCAATAATCATTGATCAAGATCTTGTGATGGGAGCAGCCATCAGACGAGTATTTCCAAAGACTCGTCATCGCTTTTGCTTATGGCACATTTTAAAGGAAGTACTAGAGAAGTTGTCTCATGTGTATATGGAACATGGAAAAAAATTTAGTGATGATTTTCACAAATGCATCCAATTCTAAGACAATACAGGAGTTTGAATCGTATTGGCAAACAATCATTGATCACTACAATTTAGGAGAGAATGAATGGCTTATAAGAATGTATGGCATTAGTGAGCAATGGGTCCCGGCCTTCATGCGCAATACCTTGTTTGCAGAGATGTCTACAACCCAATGGAGTGAGATTATGAACTCATTTTTTGATGGCAATGTAAATGCAAAAAGCACTTTAAAAGAATTTGTTGAGAATTATGGACTTGCATTAGATAGTCGGTATAAAAAGGAGAGATATGCGAATTTTGAATCTATTCACAAACATCGGGTTTTGAAGACTTATTTTCCAATGGAGAAAGAAGCAGCATGCATTTATACCAAAGCAGTGTTTGAGAAATTTCAAAGAGGAATTGTGTCGCAGTATTGAATATGTTATAATAAAATTTGAGAATGGTGGGGTAAACATTGTATTTAAGGCCTCAAAATATGATGAACATTAACTGTACTTGAAATCAAAACAACTTGTAGTTGCCAATTGTTTGAGTTCGCTGCATTACTTTGTAGACACATTTTAATTGTTCTTAGAATGAAAAAAAAAAATGAAATACCACCTTGTTACATCTTGAAGCGATGGACAAAAAATACCAAGGAAGGGTGCGTAATAGATGAACATGGCTATACAATGCAAGTTGATTTGCATGAATCCTTGACTGTACGATACAATGAATTGTGTAGAAAGACAATAAACTCTGTAGAGAATGGAGCTATGTATAAGGAAACATTTAAGGAAGCAATGTATGTTCTTGATGAGGGCTTCAAGTGATTTACAATTTTCAAATAAAATATCGATAAAACACATCAACAAAGCAACCCAGAAGATCCTCATCTTTTGCAATTAAATGTCAATTTAAGTGAAGAAGGGAATTTAATAGAAAATCAGAGAGTGCTCGACCCCCTACCTATGAAGACAAAAGGGAAGCCTCCTAAGCATTGGTTAAAATCCTTCTTGGAGAAGCCACAAAATAATGATAGAAAATGTGCCATGTGTAAAGGTAGCAGTGATGATAAAAGGAATTTCCCAATGCTAAGAGGTACACTGAATACTGAAGAATGCAAAACAAAAGGTTCTTAAGCTGATTCGTTCCTTATATTCATCATTTTCAATGGTTAAAGAATTTAATCTGCAATCATAGGGCACTCCACCTTCAACTGTGGACTACAAACCACACTTGCCTTTTCGAACCGACTCAGTGTTTCTCATGACCCACAGTCCATGCAGGGGCTCATTAGCGGGTCACCAAAGTCTGACGGATGAGTCAAGGGGTTGCAATCCCAATATGTGGATTACAGGTCTTCCCTTAGAGACAAGTCAAGGTCACCAAGACCTTATACGACCACAGCTCTACGGCGCATAGGGGTATCTCTCGCACATGCATACGCTTCACCCTAAAATATGGATTTTTGGTTTTTCCGAACAATCTATCAATATGCATGCCGTATGATGGTATATGATGAGGTTTTGGCCCCTGTCTCTGTAGGCCATCATCACACACAAGGGTCACACAGTCCTTCGACTCACTCATCCGGGCATGTTGTCCGACCTCATCAAGGGCTAACCCATAAACCCTCATTGGTTTGTTCTTCATGCCTAGGTACCATGGTTTTTTCCCAACCGATTGGCCTAGATCGTTAAGCATATATTGGTATCAGCAAATCATCGTTTGCTTAGTATGGTCCACGAGGGACCACACTCTCACTGAGTTCATGTTCCACTACATCATTTCATTTTACAAGCACTAATAAAGCCTTTAAAGGCTACATAAACCCAACAGATGGCAGTTAGATAGAAGCGATTGATCTGTAATTGCACTGACTCTTCATCACTCATTTCTAAAACTTGGTTTTGCTAAAATCTTTTTTTTTTGTTGTTCAAGTTGTAATGATAAAATAGTCTAACTTTTATATTGATTTTCAAGTGCTAAGGGTAATTATTTTCCTTGAAAAAGAGTAATTCATTTTTTAATTTTTTTAAAAGCATATAGTTAGAGCATTCATATGCAAAGCTTGTGTTTTTGCTTAAAAATATCATGGCGAGCTTTCTTACATTTACATGAATGTGTTGGATTTAAGAGCATTGTGAAACTCCAATACGATGGCGATATATAGTTATTTTTATAAATGAATTCATTGAATTTAAGAGCAAATCTCATTTTATTAATTAAAATATAATTGAGAACTATATTAACTTGAGAATCAATCATGTCTTGATTCTAACACAGGTAGAGATGGAAAACAAAATTAAAAAAATAAAATAAAACAAAACCAGCATAGTTGGTTCCTTTCAGCTTACTTTTCCACTAAAACCGTTACTAAACTCATATTTGTTAAAATATGTGTGGCTATGTTTTGAATTCTATTAACCCAATACTATCCAATATTGATCCCCTGAGGCAATACTATCAAGGCAATACTATCATATTTTGATCTGAATGGCTCCTGTTCCTCAGCCCTGAAAATTTGAGACTTACAGGGGGTTAAAATAGTGTTTGAGATAATATATAACGTATATGTTTTATATTTGAGAATTTTATATAGAGCCGAGGCTCTAAACAATCAAATTTGAGTCTACCTCAAAAATATCATTAAAAGAAGTTGTTTTGATGTCCAGAATTTCAAATTGCTCATCTTGACATCAAGATGCATGGACATAAGAAAAAAATGGATTACAAGTTTTGGAAAGAGTATATTTTGTAACACATTTTTTGACCGTCAATTTTCAAGCTTTCATAGATATGTCAATTTACACTAATTTTGAAGCTTTATACTTTATAATTAAATATGAAAATATATTTTAAGGCTAGCACAAAGATTTTTTATATTAAAACTACATTTCTCGATACTATTTAAAGGTAGGCTCTAATTTGATTGTTTAGAGCCTAGGCTCTATACAGACCGCACCCTTTATGTATTGGCCAAAATGAGAGACCGTCATCATATACCATTTGTTTGAATGAGAGATTTCTCAAGGCACCGTCATCATATACCATTTGTTTGAGATAATTGTGGATCATTAGTGTTCAAAAAATTAACTTGGACTTGGCCAAGGTACCTGGTCTTTGGTGGAGGCGATTTACTGATGAGTCTAAGTAACTCCTCCTCGAGTTCAAATTTTTTTATTTTTTTATTTTTAATACAAGTTAAACCAATGGTTTAAAAAGTGGATCGGTGACTCGGATCGGGCACCTCAAAAATCGATCCTGATTGGCGAATCGGCGATCCGGATCAGGAATCGATTGAATCGGTCGGATTAAAGCTTCAAAAAAATCCGAAAAAATTATTAAAATTCATTATAAATATTATTTTTTAGGAATCCAATAAAAAATGTGGGTACTACATTATTAACTTTTATTTTTTTTATCAATTTGTGAATATTGAGATGCTCTTTCCCTGTATAAACTTATTTTAACTATTAAATTTGCATCACATAAAAGAAAAATCATAGAATTATCATGGATAAAATATATAATTATATATGGACTATTATAAAGAGTAGACTAATCAATGAAAGAATGGCCATTAAAATCTCGTTTTGGCAAAAAACCCTAATCCGCTAAAAAAACCCAAACTATTACAGCCTAACTAACTATAATCCAAAATTATTACAACCTCACTAATTATAATATTATATAATGAAATTATAATTATTATTTTACAGTTTATAATTATTTTATTAGACAAATAATAACAAATTAAAAGTATTTTATAATATTATCTAATTTAAAATGTATTATTGACAACTGTAAGAAAAATAGTACATTACATGATTTATAATGTAAAAATTCACAAATAAAATAAAAGATTTGGTTATCAATGTAAAAATTAATAAAATGTGTACAAATTTTGGAAATAACACTTCAATTTTTCAAAAATTTATTTTTTTAGGTTTCTATAATAAATTTAGTAAAAGAGATTGTTAGTAGAAATATGGAGATTTCAAATAGAATAAACTTTTTATTTTTATTTTTTTTATACCTTTCATATTATTTACAAAAATAATTATACCACTATATACAACAAAAATTAACTGTTATATAAAAAATTAATTTTTTTATTTTTTCATGTTTTTATGTCTTTTATATTATTTACAAAAATATTTATATTTATACCAACCACTATATATACAACAAAAATATTTATATTTATACCAACCACTATATACACAACAAAAATGCAACACATGCCCAAAGGGATTTACAACACATGTCCAAGGGGATTCGACCTTGGGAGGTCAAGTAAAAAAACAAAAATCATAACTACCAAGCCATCTAACTACATGTAATTATAAATTGCTGAT